TTGTTTCTGCCTGTTTTCAACCTTAATGGTAAATGTAGAATAAAACAGAGCTTAAAGTTAAAGTAATTAAATTAGGTCATCGTTTGTTCATTAAATTATGCTTTAAGYTATTTCCAATTCAAATAAAGCAGAGACGGTGTCTTACAGATCCTCCAGAGGAGAGGGTTCTGTTTGTAGTTTAAAGCAGATCTTTCWGAACAAATCAGAAAACTAAACAAATCTATAAACCTATTTGCACAAGTTTAAATGTAAAAAAATTGCATTTAATCTGTTGTACCTTAATGCAATTGCCAGTTTTGTTTGACCAACTGTTTCAGCYCAAAGAGTTCCTGAAATGTTTGATATTTATTTTTGTTTTTCCAGGTTTGACAGGACAAAGAAATGAGTGAAAAAAGATTATATGATTCCACCAATCTGCTTCCATGCAGTTTAATAGCAAAACTACAGTAACTTATAATTCATTTAACATAAAGTCAGAGCTAACACTGACCCATTTAAGCTGTTCTTAAATGGTTGATTAATATTTTCTGTTTTGAGGAAGGGAAGGAAGGGAAGGAAAATATTTTATGTTTATATACATGGCTGCTGCTCACACTAACAGACCTCCTCCCCAGGGTCTCCTCCGTGTGGGACATGTCCAGAACTCCTCCCTAGAGAGGCGCCCAGGTTTCATTCTTACCAGATGAACAACCTCAACTGGTTCCTCCGGATGTGGAGGAGCAGCAGCTCTGAATGTCTTAACCTACCTTYAAGGGAGAGTCCAGCTCCCCTGCAGTGAAAACTCATTTAGACCTCCAGGATCTGAAATCTGGTTCTTTCAGTCACAGTTTATAGCCATAGGTGAGGGTAAGGTCTACATTCCTGTAAACAGAGAGCTTCTCCTTACAGCTCAGGTACCTCTTCASTACAAAAGACCAGCACAGAGTCCAGCCCTGGTGGAGTCCATCTCCCACCCTAAAGGGATTTGACTTTACTGGCTGGAATGTAAACCAAACCGTCTTCTCTAGCACCCCTGAATAGGCCTTACCAGGGAGGCTAAGGAGACTGATGCCCCTAAAACTGGATCACAGCCTCCAGTCCCCCTTTTTGAAGAGGGGGACCCACTACCGCAGTCTGCCTGTCTGGTGGTACTGTCTCCAATGTCCCCGCAATGTTTCAAAGGCGTTCAAATGCTGATGTTTTAATGTATGTTATGAAGACCCCTCACGTGGAGCAGATCTCAGCTGGGCTGAAGTGGACCGCAACATATTTATTGTGTGACAGAAGTCTGCTGCCTGATATCAATCAAAACAACTGAGTTAACTTACTTTAGTGATCCTGTGGTGGTTCAATATTTTTTAAACTAACTACAAAGTTGCTTTCTATCTTGTCTTTAATGTTCCCTAGGTAATAAATCTCCAGCTCACTGACATCTTCCTCGCATCACACGCACACACACACACACACACACACACACACACACACGTTATATCATATTACACATAAAACATTGCAATTGAGCTCCATCACATTGTTTAATGGTCTTGGTCCTTTTGGGCCTCTGAAGTTGTCCTCATCAGGTTATTATTCTGGTGTTGCTAAATATGACAGATTTATTCTCTTCAAAAAATTCTTGTTAAAGTGCTAGTTCTGCTAACTGCTCTTGTGTTCTTTCTGTGTGCAACTTGCTCAGCGTTTCATGGTACAGCACTTTATCACTCCTCTTTGTGGATGAAGAGGTCATCACTGTCTGAGACATCTCTGATGGGAACTTCCTGTACTTGTACACATCTGAGTTGCTTGTTACGTACCTTGTTTTGTTGCTGCTGTAGTGTTCCTGCGGAGCCACAAGAGTCTGGAGTCTGTGGATCCTCAGTTCACCATGAGGCGAAAGATGGAGCAGCTGAGAGAGGAGCTGGAGCTCATGGAGCAGCTGAGAGATGTGAGCAGCTTTCTTWGATCTCAGTGTGAGAGAAGAAAAGAGCAACAAGAACATTCTGAAGGTTCCGTCTGGTCTGCTACTGGTGCCTTCAGTCAGCTCATAACATTTACTCCTCATCCTCTCTCATCAGATCATAGAGAGCAGACTGAAAGTCGTCCTTCCTGAAGACCTCGGCTCCTTTCTGATGGACGGAGTTGTGCTCTGTCATCTGGCCAATCACATTCGCCCGCGCTCCGTTGCTAGCATCCACGTTCCCTCGCCTGCAGTGGTATGACATCCAGTCAGGATGTTTGATTCTTAAAACCTATTAATTTTTTTTATATATTTCTAATTGTTCTTGTGTTTCCAGCCCAAACTCAGCATGGCCAAGTGTCGGAGAAATGTGGAGAACTTCCTGGATGCCTGCAAAAAGATGGGTGTACCTCAGGTAAGATGGAACTCTGAACAAGCTCCGCCCCCACCAGTGCTCTGTGAGCCACATGTGGCTTATGTGAACTGGTGATCGATTTCATGTTTTTCACTGAATCTGACTACCACCTGGATGATTCCAGACAAACAGTCTTGTCTCATTTCCTGTTTTTAACATTATCAGAACAGCATTTGAACAAACTAGTCCTCCTGGAGGATGGTCTGTCAGAAAGTTCWAACCTGAAAACGTCCCAGTTCATCAGACAAGCTTTCTGTTTTCACATTAGGCATCATCTTTTTTTTACAAGTTGTAAAACAATCCCAAAGTGTCCTGCAAAGATCTGCTGACTGCGAGGGARAGAGCTGCTCCTTTTCTTCATACATACCAACAATTGTTTAACTTTATCTAAAAAGTGAGCAGAAAGCAGGGAGTTTGCAGGACACTGAAGCAGAGCTGAGAGGACAGCTGACGGTTCTGTGTGGATCTGGTCCAATCACAGCTGAGATCCAGGTGTCACCTGTTGTCACACAGATGACAAGTGTAACTTTTAATAAAAGAAAAACAAAACAAAAAACTTGGGTTAAATCCTAACACCTGAGAATCACTCAGCCTCATCTCAGCTCTGACACTGTCCCTCCTCTTCGTCTTTATCTTCATCCCGTCATACAGAAATTTCTCATCGAAATATAACGCTGACATCATCATTGCTGTCATAACTGCCTCAGCTTCCATAACAACATCAGTCTGTGCCAGGACCGTGTGTGTGTGTGTGTATGTGGGTGTGTAAAACTGATTTTAGCAGTATGAAAGGTGCAGACTAGATTTGTAAAAACTGTTTTGAATGTCCCTAAAAATGTAATTTTGGGAAATAAGTCTTTACAGAGTAGTTAAATCATGTCAGGGTCACCAATTGAAAGTAACATGAGATCCCGAATCAGGTGCAGAACCAGTCCAGTACTCAGACTTGAACATTTATTCACAGACATATAAAGTTCATCTCATCAAAGCGCTTGTAGTCCATCCTGACCGATCCCTTCTGCCTAAGAGATCTGGACAAAATGGCCTCGAATCACTTGTTCTTAAAGGGTTTATAGAAAACCTACTCCCACCTGTATATGATATTATAGAAAACAAGGAAGTAGGTTATAAAGACTAAAGCTAAATAGACTTGTTTATTCTCTTACTGTTTAGGGTAAATGATTACAATTGATCACAAAGTATAAAATAACTCTGTATCTGGAATTCAGTAATCAACCCACAAAATATCTTACAGTTAATAATACAATATCATATTGGTTTTTTTATGTTTATGAATTCAGCAGCCTGGTGGCCTAACAGAAAYTGGAAACATGGAAAAACAAACAAGAAATGTTTTAAATGTTGTAAGTTTTTCAATAAGGGACTCAAATAAAAGACAGTGTTGTGTTTAGATGTACTTCATCTTCGCCTTCCAGACAAGATGTTGTTTTTTTGTTTATTTCTATCAAACTTTAAAACGTGCTGAACTTCAGATATCCATCTTCTGCCACTTATCCATAGTCAGGGTTGGGGAGGCAACAGGTCCAGAAGAGAAACCCAGACATACCTCACTCCAGCAACATTTTCCAGCTCGTCCTGGGGGACCCCAAGGCGTTCCCAGACCAGAAGTTACATAATCCCTTCAAGTCCTGGGTCTTTTCTGGGGCCTCCTACTGGTGGGACATGCCCAGAACACCTCTAAAGGGAGGCGTCCAGGAGCCATCCTAATCAGATGAACCACCTCAGCTGACTCTTTTCAATGCAGAGCAGCAGCTCCACAATGATCTCCCCTCGGATGAAAAGTGTCACTCGAGTGTCCAAGACATAGGGCTGCACGTCAGATGACACAATTACAAAAGTGATCATCAACCTTTGGCCTAAGGGGGCTTTGATTCAAGTACATTTGTGGATCACCCTATGCTCAAACATGGTGTTTGTTATGGGCAACCCGTGCTTAGCACCGAAGACCAGTAACTATTAGGTTTCAGATCAGGGAAGTTGTTCCTCCAAATCACCCCCTTCCAGATAACTCCGTCATTTCTCACATGGGCATTGAAGTCACCCAGCAGAACAAGGGAGTCTCCAGATGGCACCCCTTCCAGGACGRCATCCAGAGACTTCAGAAAGGCCAGATAATCTGAACAGTCAGAACCTTCCCTCCTGCAGCATGAAGAAACATCCCTCTCATTCACCGAGGTGAACTCCAACACTGAGGCACACAGCCCAGGGTTTGTGAGTTTCCCCACACCCACCCGTCGCCTCTCTCCCTGGTCATCTCCAGAGTAGGACAGAGTCAAGCCCTTCTGCAGGAGTTGGGTTCCAGAGCCCAAGCTGTGAGTAGAAATGAGCCCAACTATATCTAGCTGGTAACGCTCAAACTCACCCACAAGCTCCGGGTCCTTACCCACGGGTTAGGTTAAATTCATTGTCCCTAGAGCTAGTCTTTGCCATCAGCAATCAGCATGGCCAGGGACCCTCCTTCACCTGCTGCCCGGCATACATCGCACCTGACCTTGATGGTCCTCCCTGCAGGTGGTGGGTCCATGTGGTCTCCTGTAGTCATTTTGGACTTGGCCCGGCCGAGCCCCTGGAGCCAAGGCACGGCCATCAGGTACTTGCCGGTGAGCTCCCCCCAGGCCTGGCTGCATGGAGGTGCCCCAGTTTCCTCATTCCAGTTAAGGTTTCCTGATTTGACTGAGCTTTTGTTTCATCAAAGGTTCTGAATCGCTCTTTTTCTGAACCCTCCCCGAAGCCCGTTTGCCATTAGCCTGATAAAAACCAGACCCTTGTCCTTCACTTCGCTTCGTACGACGGTCTGGACTTGCGGCTATAGGGAAGCGCTTCTTGCTGGAGGTGTGGCCTCTGCTGAAGTTTAAAATGATTGGATCAGTTGGCTGCGACATGTGTCACTGTGAAGGAGGCTAAGCTAAGAAGCTAACCAGAAATCGCATGCGCTGTAAACAACCCTACTGTGAGGAGAGAAGTACCGAGCTGAACGAGACGACTGTAAATGAGAGCTGCTGCTTTGTCAGACAAATTTAATTTAATTTAGAAGCCTTATCAACACAGACTGGCTTCATTCACATCMTCCACTGCCAAATGCAAAACTAACTAGCAGACACTGTGCAGAAAATCTATGTCATTCAAAACTCCGCCTTCTATTTGCTGATTGGCCCAGGTAAAATAAACTACAAGCAGACACTGCGCAGAAAATTGACATTCTGTTCTCTGATTGGCCCGGACGAAAATTCTCCAGAAGAAATCCTTGTTTATGGGAGAAGTCCCAGACGGAGCGGTGAAGGGAAACTAGAATTGAGCGGAGCTGCGTAGGAAGGCAAGGGCCAGGCTAGTTTGCTATGGGAGACCCTACCAGGGGCTAATGCCTCAGACAACATAACCCCTAATCACGAGGGTACTTAAATGRTAAATGGACTGTACTTGAATAGCGCTTTTCTATCTATCCAGGACACTCAAAGCGCTTCACACTACAATCTGTGTCCTCATTTACCTATTCACACTGAACTCTAATAGGTCTCTACAAAGCTACATGTATCAATCTATGGAGACTAATCAGTGCCATTCACATTCATACACTGATGGGACACACATCAGAGGCATTGGGGGTGACGTGTCTTGCCCAAGGACACAACAACTGAGACAGCTGGACGGGAAATCGAACCGGCGACCTTCCAGTTCCAGGACAACTCCCCTAACCACTCTGCCACAGTCACCCTTACTTATGTACCTTACGTACGTAAGGTGGCGATTCTGCGGATTCATGTTTATACGGGAAAAGATAACCAAAACTTTACATCATTTTTTACTAAGCAAAACAAACCTGTTTATCTAACAAATAAAGCCAAACACAAACAATTTGTCTCATAAAAATTTTGCTGAGCTCACAGTAAAACATTTWATTACCAACAACAGAGGTTTTTCTACGTCTCTTCAGAGGATTCCATTTATTTTATTTGTTTSTTGTTTCTGGAGCTTAAATAAAATCCAGACTTTAGTGAAAAACAAAAACTAAGGTGAGCCTGTCACCTGTTCAGAATCTTTTGTGTTTCAGTTGTTTAGTTGGTTCTTTTGTCACTTTTCTGTTTGTGGCTATTTATTTTTGCTATTACTATTTATGTTATCTTGATATTTGTTTTGTTTTTTCTTGCTGATACATGCTGGTTTTGTTCCTGATGATGTTTGGGATTTGTGTAGCTGTTTAATCTCTGACTTCATCGCTGCTTGCTGASTGCTTCCAGCCTCTTTGTGGACGTTGTTGGCTTCCTGCAGCCTGAATGTTTTGCTGCTCTGGCTCTCCATCAGCTGCCTCCCCGTCCCATTAGGGGCTGCTTACTGGGAGAGAGAGAGAGAGACCCCATCAGTCCCCAGGAAGAGCTGAGCTCTGCAGCATCCTCTCAGTAAGCATCCCTGATGGTTGCTGTGGTGACCCCTCCCTGCCTCTGCTTTCTGTCAGCTCAGACTCATGACTTTTGACCTCTGTGTCCTTTGAGTCTGTTGGTTAACTTCCTGCTTTTTCTTTTGTCTTTTCTTACCTTCTGGCTGGATCCCATCCTGTTTTCCTTTTTTTAATTAAATTTGTTTTATTATTTTTTTCTTCTGAATTTTATTTTTCTTTCCTTTTTTCCTCTCAATGTCATTTTCTCCAACTCTCTGCCTTTTTCTTACTTTAATGTCCTCATCCCACCTTTGCTGACTTATTTCTTCTTGTGGTTTTTTATTTTTACACTTTAATTCTTCATGATGTCATTTTCATTTCTTTGACCTTTTTTCTCTTTACTATCCATTCATTTTCCATCTTAAACTTTTTTTTTACTTTCCTTCCTGTTATTTTCCCTCTGTTTTCTTTTGTCTAACCCTTCTTTATTTTAATACCCCCTCCCTTCCCACTGGGGGTGCCAGTCTTCTTTATGTACACCCTACGACATCACTCAGGGCCGTCTGCAGCCGGTCCACGCCACTCTTCGGGCGCTGGTTGCCACGGA